GAGAAACATCATTGATCAACTGCTTCCTGCACGCCCCCTCCTGGGGATCAAGCTGAAATCCGGGCATGTGCCCTGACCGGGAATCAAACTGTAACCACCTGGTTCCTAGGTTAATGCTCAACCACTGAGCCACTCCGGCCGGCAGTCAGGTTGCCCTTTGAGCCTATTTTCATCCTGGAATGTCCTTTTACTTTCAGTAAAGGTAGGACTCTCTCTGACACTTCCTGGGCCTAGGACAAAAAATGGGGAGCCTCAGTCTGCAGCCTTTTCATCTTCTCTTCCTAGTCCTGGCCACACCTCACACTCAGCCCACATATCCAGTTTCAATCTACAGCCCCAACAAAAAGCTGCCCCTCCATTACTACTGGGCCTGGGCATGTGTGCATGTCCAGACCCTAAGTTGGCTTTGGTCATGATAGATTTGGAGAAAATTCTACGCAAACTCTGAGATTGGGTCTAGGTGATTTGAGCAGGGGCACAACCACAGGAGGGATAGATTGGGGCCTTTTCCAGTGCAGGGTTTGGAAGAGGGGCCCAGGCTCTCCTAGTCTGAGGGCTCCTTTGTTTCTCTCCTGTTTCATGTATCCCTTTTCTTCATTTTCTTCATTTACTTACTCCTTTCAGAGGAGCACATCTTCCGTTCACTCTCTGAGAAAGTTGCCCAGGAGATGAACTATTTGAGACGTTGACTTTAAAATATCTTTATTCTATCCATACTTAATTGATAATTTGGTCATTCAATTCTAGATTGAAATCATTTTTGTTCAAGAAATTTTAGATATTGTTACATGATCATCTTGCTTCTCATGTTGTTGTTGAGAAGTCTGAAGATTCTGGTTCTTGGATTTTTTTCCCTGACTTTTTAAAATCTCTAGAAACTTATAGTATTTTCACTTTGGTTCAGGTGTTCTATATCATTTCACAATCATAATAAGAGGTGTGGTCTGTTTTTACCTGGTATTTTGAGAACTCATGTCCTTCAGTTCTGGGAAATATTGCTGAATTATTTGAATTTCTTCTCTGTTTACTCTGTCCTCTTTCTGAACTTTCTACTCTTTAGATAATAGATCTTCTGGACTGGTTTTCTAATTTCAACCTTTCTCTACTATTTTCCATCTTATAGTTTTGCTCTACTTTCAAAATGGGAGTTTGCCTCAACTTTACCTTCCAACCATTCTATGGAGTTTTAAAATTGTATAACATTTTTAATTTTCAAGAACTTCGGAATGTTTTCCAATAGCATCCTATTCATAATTCAAGATTGCAATATTATCCTTATTGCCTTGAAAATATTAAGGATTGTGGAGCCAAAAAGCTAAATGGACTCTATTGATTGTGAACTTGAATGAAGGGTGACCTGGTTGCCCCATTTAGTTATGGTAACCTCTGATGTCGATTGGTCTCAGACGAGTCTGATTCCCCAGAACAGTCTTCACAATATCCTGCCTCGAAGGTGGATGCCCCTCCACCAGCATCCTGAGAGCTAAAGGGAGAGAGGTCATGGATCTCAGCATCTAAATGCCTATGTTTATTGAATCTATTATTGGTTCAGTAATTCAACCCTCAGCTGGTATCTCATAGCCCAGAAACCTTACGTTTTCAGAGAATCAATCCCAAGTTTTCCCTTGGGAATGGAGATGGGAGATAGTCACCCTGCTACCTGGAATGAGAGAGAGGATCTGGGTTTCTGACTGCCTTTTCAATAGACTCTCAATTCATCTTTCTTATTTTAGATACACTCCCTTTACCCTACTTCCAATGGGTTTATGGTGCTACCAATTCTTAGACATTTATGAAAATTTAAATCAGATTGGCACTTAGAAACCATAGTTTTAGAGAAATGGCTTTTGAGATACCATAACCTGAGCTTTAATATTAAAGCTCAGGTTATGGTATCTCAAAAGCCATTTAATTATATATATATTAATTGATTTCAGAGAGGAAGGGAGAGGGAGAGAGAGAGAGAAATATCAATGATGAGAGAGAGTCATTAATAGGCTGCCTCCTGCACAGGGGCCAAGTGGAGGATGAGAAATTACCATGGATGCCAGTGTGACTACATCATGACAACCAGAGATACCCCCCACTCCCATGTTTCCCAACTGACCCTATGGCTCTGTGTAAGCAAGAAGGTCTTGTAAGATTCAGCCTTTTTAGGTCTCCTAAGTCCTTAACCTTCGGACTCCTGCTTTCTAGTTCTAAAATGTAATTGCTTTTGTCTCTTCTATTCTCCCTCTTTTTTGTGGATTGTAACTTTAAAAAATTACTTACTGTTGTTCTAATGAAGTTTAGGGGGTGGGAAATACATGCATATGCTTAACCAGCTATTTTTCCTGAAAATCTTTGCTTTTCTCTAACTCAATTTGATCTCGTTTTTGAGCTCAGCTTACATTCTCCTGAGTAATCACTGTCAATCAGGTTAGCCTCAGTCACTTCAGGGCTTCATCCTCCTTGGGATTGCCTCTAAGTTCCTTCTTGCTTACAAAGAGCCATAGGGTCAGTTGGGGACATGGGAGTGGGGGGTATCTCTGGTTGTCATGATGTAGTCACACTGGCATCCATGGTAATTTCTCATCCTCCACTTGGCCCCTGTGCAGGAGGCAGCCTATTAATGACTCTCTCTCATCATTGATATTTTTGAGTTTCTAAACGGGCCTCAGAAACTCTCAGAAGAAACCATAGTTTTAGAGAAATGGCTTTTGAGATACCATAACCTGAGCTTTAATATTAAAGCTCAGGTTATGGTATCTCAAAAGCCATTTCTCTAAAACTATGGTTTCTTCTGAGAGTTTCTGAGGCCCGTTTAGAAACTCAAAAGCTGAAAGTTGCACTTCTGCTCTGGTTTTCTACAATGATGTTCTGAGGCCTTGAAAGGGGAAGGCCTTAGCTGCAGCCTTGGTGGGGTGGAGGGGGAGGGTTGGGAAATAACTGCCTCACTATAAAGCCTTTTTTTTGGTAAACTTTTTTGCTCTGTTAATTATCTTCTCATGTACTAATATATAAAGATTTGCCTTTTCACCTGGATGTTCAGTTTGTTGAGGGCAGAACCACACTTAGAAATTTTTTTTTAGGAAAGAAAAACATTTCCTTTATCCTTATAACTGTGTCCAGCATACAAGGACTACTTCATGGATTTGTTGAAGACCTTTAATTTTGTATCATTATGGTACACGACTATACCTGGAATATAAACATTTAAATAATTGATAAATTTGCTGAATATATCTTGGAATAGTTCCAAAAAGAGAAAATAAACATTGAAAATATTACTCTTATACAATTAAAATAATTATATTAATCACTAGAGGCCTGATGCATGAAATTCATGCAAGAGTAGGCCTTCCTTCCCCTGGCTGCCAGCACTGGCTTTCCTCTGGCCTTCAGCAGGCACTGGGGACCAGGGCTTCCCTCGCAGCCCCAGCTTCTTCCAGAAGGACGGAAGGATGTCCAGTCTAATTAGCATATTATGCTTTTATTATTATAGATATTTGTAATATTTACTTTATACAATTAAAATTACTTGGGAAATAAGTGCATGAATATAAAAGAGATGCTAATATTTAAAAAAAGGACCTTTATGTATGGTTAAAATAATCCTTTTCTAATTTGACTTTTCAATTCAGCTTCATGTTGACAGGTCTGTTTCGGAAGCCTAGCTTTCAAGGACAAAGAGGATCAGTTTTCCTTGCTGTCTATTGCCCAGCGCCAAGAATGTCAGTGTGTTCCTTTTTTAGAAAACGCAGCTGCTGCTTTCTAGCCTATTCTAGCCACTCCAGACTCAGCTGACAACTGCTGGGGGTGGGGAGGGGAGGCGGTTGTAGCAAAAGCCCATGGTCAGGAAATCTCTTTGGTAACTAGGGTAGAGGTAAACACGTCAGTTGAGTGCAGAGACATTTCCAGGACTTATTGTGAGAAGTACGTGGGATAGAGCAAGAAACTTGTCCTGAGCTGCAAAGGTTGGTGAGGCTTCCTGGTCCTTCATGATGGGTTGATAGTGAATTAATTTCATACCATGCATTGTTGTCAGTTATTTAATTCAAATTAACAAATATCTTTTGAGTCCCTCTGAAATGGAAACAACTGTGCTAGTTTTGAGGGATAAAATCCAAAGATGGGTAAAATATTGCTCTATTTTCAGTAGAATTTGCCTCATTGTTTTTCTCATAACCCAATGGGTATGTTGTTTTCCCAATTTGCAGCTTCTCAATCACTCTCCATTTCCTCTGAGGCAGGAGGCAAGTGCCTTTGCTTGACTCCTAAGGCCCTTCATGACCTAATTCTGGCCTATTTTCCCAGGCCCTTCTGCTTATGCTCAGCATCTTGGCGTATGGTGAATAGGCCACAACACCATATTCTCTTATAACTCTGTGCCTATGGCTGGAACTCTTAGTCTTCACAATTTAGATGAAATGTCATCTTCTCTGTGACATATTTGTAACTCCTTTCCCTTATCCACAGGTGGTGTTAGGGGCTCCTCTTCTTCACTTCCTTTGTGCCTATCATGATTTGAACCCTCTGTGATATAATATTGGAATTGTTTGCATCTAGTTTATATTTTCCCATATACATTTTATATATAGTTTTATTAATTTTAGAGAGGAAGGGAGAAGGAGAGAGAGAGAGATAGAAACATCATTGATGAGAATCATTGATTGGCTGCTTCCTACACACCCCACACTAGAGATGGAGCCCCCAAATTTGGCATGTGCCCTGACCAGGAATCAAACCATGACCTCCTGATTCATAGGTCGACCCTCAACCACTGAGCCAAGCTGGGCCGGCCCATAGTGGAAATTTCTTGAAGGATGGAACTGTGTCCTATTTATCTTTCTATCTCCAGCACGTGCCATTGTCTTGGTACAAAGCAGGCACAAAATTAGTGATGGCTTGGTGAATGAATGAAATGACTATTTCCTTTACTTTTTTGATACATCAACTGTCAATTAAAAAAAAATCCAGTCTTCATTTTCCTCATTGTTATTCACCAACTCTCTTTCCAGAATGCTGTCAGAAGGGTACCTCAGTGGACTTGCCTACCGGAATGACATCCCCTGGAGTTGTGCGTCTTATAATGAGAACATGGCTGAGGAAAAGGAAGAAGAGACTAACTCTGCTGCTCTTTGCTATTCCTCTGTGGATGAAACACAAGTCGGAAGTCTCTACCTGAGCTGCAAATCCTCCGGCAAGTTCATTTCTTCAGTGCATTCAAGAGAGAGTCAACACAGTAGAAATCAGAGAATCACAGTGCTACAGACAAATCCCAATCCTGTGTTTGAAAGCCCAAATGTGGCTGCAGTTGAAATATGTAGACACCCCAGCAGAGAGACTTTCTTGGTTCCACCTTCCTGTAAAAGTATTTGCAAGAATTACAATGACTTACATATTGCAGGGGGCCAGGTGATGGCCGTTAATTCAGTGACCACAGATTTTCTCTGCGAGAGTAGTTTTGAATACGGCCCTTTGCTGAAATCATCTGAGATTCCTTTGCCAATGGAGGATTCCATTTCTACTCAGCCCGGTGACTTTCCCCAAAAACCTATCCAGCGGCATTCATCCTACTGGAGAATAACCAGCATCAAGGAGAAAAACAGCTTGCAAATGCAGAAGCCTATTTCTAATGCTGTGCTGAATGAGTATCTGGAACAGAAGGTGGTGGAGTTATATAAACAGTACATTATGGACACCGTGTTTCATGACAGTTCCCCTACCCAGATTCTGGCATCTGAACTAATCATGACAAGTGTGGACCAAATTAGCCTCCAAGTGTCGAGAGAGAAGAATCTGGAGACCTCAAAAGCCAGGGATATAGTCATTAACCGCCTATTACAGTTGGTGTCCACTGAAATCAGTACTCCTAGTCTCCATATTTCACAGTATAGCAATGTGAATCCATAATGGAGAGGATGTTTCCATTCCTCTTTGTCAACTCTCACAGCTAAAACAACACTTCATTCAGTTATTCTGAGAATGTGGAGGAGGGGTTTGGGAAGGAGTCAAGAGCTAGAGAAGTAAACATTGGCTGGAGGTCAGGTGTGAATTAAGAGGAAATCTCATAATATTACACATGAGGAAGGAATGTGGGGAGAGGGGCTATAAAGAGTGCTTTCAAAGCCAGGGTTGTATAGCAACAAAGCAAAAAAGAAAAATGATCAAAAAAAGCAAAGGTAGGATTCATTTCAAGGAGTACAGAAATCGAAAAAGAAGACAAGCCAAAGAAGAACACACATCATGGCAAAAGTAAAAGGCCAAAAGTTTCAGAGTAAAGAGTTAAGAATGTTTGTTACTCACAAAGTCCCCCAAGTTGTTTTTTCTTGAGGGAAATAAACTGTAGAAGGCTGCTATATTTGGGTAGAGAGACAGGTTCAAACAGTTTCAAAATATGTTTTTCTCTCTTTTCTATTCTGTATCAGTAGATCACTTAAAATTATGTTCGCTATAAACATGAAAACAGTAGCAAATTGCAATTGTGTTTTTATTATCGAATGGAATGGTTACTTAGATATAGCCACACAACAGCCACTCAAATCTCCTAATTCTGTTTTCTAGTGGAGATGAAATTTCCTAAATGGAAAATATTACATAGTGAATATTAAACTATTTTGATTTTGCTATGTATGATTTTCTTGGTGATACACAGTTAGGAATCTTATTTTTCTCATATTCTTCTCTTCCTTTTCTCCATGCTCTCTCGTCTCTTCTGGAACCAGGAAGGGGTCTTCTGTATCCTAAAGACAAGGTTGCAAGGTCTAGGGTCTGATGATATCAAATTCTGTAAATTCATGCACCAGAATGGTGGCTTTGTGAGTGCTGCCCTGCTCTACCTCCTTCCTCTAGATCAGGGATTGGCAAACTGGTCATTGCTCAACTCTAGGCTGACACCTGTTTTTTTGTTTTTTTTTTTTAGACATAATTGACACATAACATTATATTAGCTTCAGGTGTACAACATGATTTAAGATTTGTATATATTACAAAATGATCACCACAGTAAATCTAGTTACATCATTTTTAAGCTCCCATGAGCTAAGACATTTTTAAACCATATAAAAAATGAAAAGACCAATCAAAATAATATTTTGTGATATGAATAAATTGTGATATTCAAATTCAGTGCCCATAAACAAGGCTGTATTCGAGTACAGCCACACCCATTCAGTTATGTATTGTCTATGGCTGCTTTCACCCTAGGATGGCAGAGCTGAATAAACGTGACAGAGAACAGATGGCCTACCAAAACCCTAAAACACTATCGTCCTTTTACAGAAGAAGTTTGCCCAAACTGCACCACAGCAGTGCCTTGCCCATATAATGCTTGCTTCGCTTAATTCAGCTTCTCTGGGGGAAGCTAACTCTGAGATGGAGACTGGTGAACAAGTTTATTTGGGGGTGTTGGGAACAACCTCTGTGATGGAGTGAGGAAAGCAGAAGAGGTTTCCACAGAGGCCTCAGGCCACCTCAGAGGGCTCTGGAGTTGGGTGGGCCTTCAAAATAGATCCAAGGCTTTTGGTTCTTCAGCTTGACAGGAAGGGGGCGTATCCTTAGCTGAGGCAATTCAGTGGAGGGCAAAATTCCCAAAGTGGGAATCCAGTGTGAGCCTTCAGCAGTCAAACTCTGATAGCTGCTGGGGGAATGAGTTCCTCATCCAGAAGGAAGGATCTGTGGAGAAAAACAGCATCCTCTACATTTCTCAGTATTTGTATCTGTAGAGTGAATGATTTTTTTAAACAACATATGATATTGTATAAGGAAACTGGTTAAATAATTATTCAGAAATGTTAATCACTGTTTAAAATATATCATAATAATAGCTGCTATGTATTAATTACTTGCTATGTGTCTGGCACCAAAATAATTTT